CCCCATTGCTTTTCAGAGAGAGTGGAAGGGGAGAGAGAGAGAGAGAGACACATGGGCTGGTTGCTTCCCGCAGGCACTCATGCCCTTGGCAGAATCAAACCCAGGACCCTTCAGTCCATGGGCCAGCACTCTAACCAGTAAGCCAAAGAGGCTAGGGTAAAAACTTTAAATAATTCTTATCCTAAGTAAGTTATCTCTCCATTCTCTCTCCCTCTCCCTTTCTCCATTCTGCCTCCCTCCTCACTCCTTAAAGGTCATTATTTCTCAGGAAATATTGACTAAAGTTTTCTAACTATTAATTTTTAGTTATATGCATCAGTTCTACATTTAAAATATTAGAACATGACAGATAAAATTAGAACTCTCTTTCACCATCCTTCTAATCCAAGTCTTCTCACAGAAACAATCAGTTTGATCTATAGTACGTTCTTCCAGAGCTCTTAAAATTAGTTATTTAACTATATAAAATTAAGTTATATCACATGAAATTAGTAGTATTATTTTATGTGGGCTATTTTTTATCAGTGACATAGCAATGGTAATGATGATGGCAACTGACATTTATTGAGTACCTGTATTGGCATGCTTGGCATCATAAAAATTTAAGTGGTACTAATCTAATTCAATTCCATAAATATTTATTGACTACCTACCAAGTGCGATGCATAGAGCTTGGTGCCGTGGAGAAAACAGAAGAATAAAGTACTGCTCCAGGCCTTGGGGTGAGGGCCGCGTTTGCAGCTGGCGGGAGTTTCTGTAGTGAGTGTTCCAGTTCAGATGGTAGCAAAGCGCTGCGGGGAAATGGGCAGCCCAAGACACCCGGGCCCTCCTGGCAGGCCCGGAGCCAACCCCTTGGGGCAGTGGCCAAGCTGGTGGTTGCCCAGATTTGGTTTCGAGAGGCAAGAACTCAGGTGCTGTATCCTTGAGGGTGCCCGTGGCAGGAAGAGTCAGAGAGGCAAGTGGGAACCAATTTTCTTAAGGAGAAAGAGGGCAGCAGCCAGGAAACAAGATCTAATCCGGGTTTTTCCAGCCTCGGCACTATTGACAGAGGCCCAGCTGAGGGCTGTGCTTCTCCATTGGAGATGGCTGCGGTGACAGACAGTGGGGGAGACTGAGTTTTCATGTGGTCATGCTGAGAAGCTCAACTGTCATGCAGGAAAATGGCCCCCAGGGCAAGGGGAGAGTGGCAGGTACGGGCCCAACTGAGGAGCCTGTGGTGCTGGGAGGCCTCGGTCACCCTTCCCGAGAGCTCCTCTGAAGGTGCGCAATCCACCAGCCCTTCCCTTATGTCGGTCTCATTCTCCCTCCCCCTCCCCCTCCCCTTCACCAAACCCGCTTCTCCCAGCAACAGTGGGGAGGAGGGTTAGTGTGGTTGGCGCCTTGGCTTGCCCTAAAAACGGGGCTCCAATCTCAGAGTTCCTGGGGAGAGGGGAAATGGCTTTTTAGGTCAGGTCAGCAAACTTTTTCTGTAGAAGATAGGATTTGCAGCCACGTACGGTCTTTGTTACAGTTCCTCAACTTTATCATTGTAGCATGAAACCACCAAAGACAATACGTGAGCAGATGGGCGTGGCTTTGTTCCAATCCATCCTTTTACATATTTATATACATATATGTATGTGTGTATATATGTGTGTGTGTGTGTATATATATGTATATAATTGATTTTAGAGAGAGAAAGGGAGAGGGAAAGAGAGACAGAAACATCGATGAGAGAGAAACATCGACTGGCTGCTCCCTGCACGCCCCCTACTTGGATCAATCCCACAACCCGGGCATGTGTCGACTGGGAATCGAACTGTGACCTCTTGGTGCATGGGATGACGATAAATCCACTGAGCCACCCCAGCCACACCAATCCATCTTTACTCACAAAAGCAGATTTGGCCCATAGGCTATAGTTTGGTGCTTCCTGTCCTAGTGGGGATACCAGGACCCTTCCCAAACCATAGTTTCATGTAAGGGCAGATAATACAAATAGAAGTGAGTAGGTGGGAAAGCTGGAGGGCTGGAGAAAGTTATGATCAGATCAGGAATTTGGGAAGCTGAGATGTGTTAGTCTTGAGGACAACCCATTCTAAGTTGTAACTGTTCTATTGAGTGGCTGACACGAGGGAAGATGAGGGAAATGGAATCGTGTGGACCTGAAGCCATGTGTTGGAGGGGTCAGCAGTATGCATGAATGATGAAGTATCAGAGAAGGTGGGTAGGGGTGAAGCAGATGACAGCAAGTCACATTCTGAAGCTGTCAAAGGAGTGATGGCTTAGTCCCTTCTCCATTGCAGACAGATTTTATATATAGTCGGATTATAGTATATGTGTACTTACTTTATGCTAATTCAGTGCTATGCTCTTGGGAAATAGAGAAGAATTTTTTAAGTGCAAACAATTCCACTCTGGAGGTGAAGCATAAAATAGGACACAAGACTCAGCTTTTTCCTTAGCTGTTCTCAGTTTTATGTGCCACTCATAACATGAGCAGCTCATAAAGCAGCTACTTCCTTCTGTCTGTCTCTGTGTACCTACCTATGTACCTGGTAAGCATTTATATCATGTTTAGTCAGGTACAGTACTGAACAATTTATAAATATCACCTAACTTAACCTGTATAACAACCCTAGGAAGCAGGAAATATCACTCTCCCCATTGTATTAGGCCAGGCTAGGCTATGTTGCTGTTAGAACCCTACCAGAACACCAGTGGCTTAACCCAGTAACAGCTTGTTTTGTTCATACAATGGCTGGCCCAGGTTGGACAGCCCTCGTATGAATTATAACTATTTGGAACATAGGATCTTTGAGGTAACTGAAGTAAAGGAAGGAAAGGCTGGAGGAGGCACCCTAGTTCTTAACCTTCTCGCCTCTCCTTACTTTACCTCCTCACATGGCCCCGAACCAACTGCAAGGAAGACTGGGATATGTAAGGGAATGCATGGATTTTCTACTTGTTCTAGTTGTCATGATGACAGCCACATTTCAGGGAAAGAACTGAGGCACAAAGGAATTATGGAAGTTACTTGCCCAAGGTCACAAGCTGGTAAATAGCAGAGGAGGGATTTGAGGAAGCCTGGCTGCGAGTCCATGCTGCTAAGGACATGGCTGATTACACTACTACGGCCTCTTACCACCTGGTCCTTAGAGTGATTTGTACTAAGACTGGGAGAAAACTGCCTGTGCGAGGCTGACTGAAAGCTGTTAGGTCTTTATGTGGGTCATTTAAGGGTTGTGAAGGGAAAATTTTGACTGATGTGATTTTCATCTATGTCCTGACTTTAGAGTGTAACCTGTGTAAGTGCAAATCCTCTGTATATTATGTGTGTGCTGGTACTCAGATACTCCTGTCTACCAACCTGGGGAGCCCTCTAAACTGTGAGTTTGGGTCTTAATGTTCTTGGTAGGACAAACTCTACCCAGCTGTCTTCAGTGCTCGACATCACTGTACTGTCTGATCATAGCCAGGAGGCTAGGATTATTTGTCACGGGGTGGCTGCCTCTTGCTTGTCACAGACATGATGGGCCCTTCTCACAAAGTTTCCCCATAATTTAACATGCTCTTCACTCTGTCCATTCCATCCCTTCTGTTACCCATTTCTTTCCCATGACTTAAAAAAACGAACCAAAAAACTGCATTTTTATGTAGCCAGGGATGTTGACAACCCTTTAAAAATTCTCTTAGGTTTACAAAAATAACAATATTTATCATATATAAAATACACCTATTTGTTAAATAAACTATATTATGAAAAGGAAATGTTTAAAATCAAGGCTAATCATAAAATTAATTAGAGCTAAAAAACCTTCCAAAAGGATGCTTCACCCCAAATAGCAGGAACATTTAGTTTCTCTTCTCTATAATGCTGTAGGTTTCCTGCTGTCCACAGAGTTGCTTTAGGAATTAATGATTACAGAGCTAAAGGGTGTTTGCTCTAGTTCTGTTCATTCCGTTTCTTGCTGTCTGCGGGAGACATTTATGTTTTGTTCCAGCCCTGCATTGATTTCCCCCTTCTCTTGGCTACCGAACGTCCTCACTCTCGGTTCGTGTAGACAGTGAGCCAGCTGACCCCGCTTTGGCTCTGCGCTGGGCATTTGAGCTGGCCTGGCCGATCCCAGCAGTGAATCCACCTCACCATCGTGGTTAACCCCAATTGGTTCAATCAGAGATAATCGAGAGATTTTTCAAGAAGCAACCAAGAAAGATTTTCGCTTTTCCTCTAGATTTGAAGCTTTGAGGTGACAAGCCTTGAGCTGCTGAGGGCAAGAAGCTAAAGAGATTATGCCTGACATACAGCAGAGCTGAGAGGTGGCCAGGGCCTCAGTCCCTGTGGCATTGTTTAAACCTGTCTATCAGGCCATGCTTAAAGCCAGCCCTACCCCTGTTAAGTGAGCCAATAAATGCTTTTTTTTCTTTTTTACTTAAACCAGTTTGAGTTAGGTTTCTAATGCTTTCAAACAAGAGTTCTGACTAACATGT